TTTAGATGGGTTGATGAAATTAGTTTTGGCGGTGACTTGGTCTTGTATTTGATATGTTAAAAGAGATTATGTCGAAGCCTCCTTTTCCTATTTAATTGGGTTCATCAGACAAGATTCGACAGACAAGAAAACTAGGAACATTTAGCTTACAGGTCATTTAGTTTAAGTGAAGAAACATTTTGTAACTTGCTTTGACTAAGAAAAAGTTACTTTTGCTATAGGGAGCTAGGTCCAACTGTAAAGAATAGCTAAACAAAGAGTTAAAAGAAGCGTGTTGCTATGTTTGCTTAAGCTTGATATTCTTGATTTATTTTTTGATGTTATATGCGGTTTGCAGCCGGGGCCGAGAGACTTCCCCCTTCAGTGCTTCATAAAGAGGAACAGGACGAATCAGACATACCATCTTTACCTCGGTCTAACTCAAGGTGTGCTTGTTTTAGTAAGGCTATAAATATGCTTGGTAATTGTGGGTTTATTTGGTTATCTACCTGTTAGCAAAGTCAAAGGTATAGAGAAATTTATATCTTCTATGATATTTCAGCTGGTCACATACTTTTCTTAGAAACCATCTTTGGCTTGAATGAGTCGGGTGCTTCTTTTAGAATCCTAATGCTACTGACACTTTTTTGTTTCCATTTATTAGTTTCCCATGACCTCACTCAATATTATTTGCCTTATTAAGTATCTTGCAATTTATGTGGAACAACCCAAGCCTCAATATCTTGTTGTGCAAATGGATGTGCATATGATTCGTTCCTAGAATTTAATGGAGCAGCTGAAAGTACATTTGTCAATTCGATTTGGTTTTTCCATTTATTAGTTTCGTTCCATGCAGACCTCACACTATATTATTGCCTTATTAAATATTTTGCAGTTCCAGTGGAATTACCCCAAGCCTCAATATACGATTTATCATGTTATGCAATATGGTATGTGTGCATATGATTCGTTCCGAGCCTATATTCGCAGGTGATCAGGCCAGGATTTGATAGAGTGTTTGTCTGAAAACTTTATCGGAGCAGTTGAAACTACATGTGTCAATCAAGTTATTTCTTCAATTTGCTTCTTTTTTTCCTTCTGGTTATTAAGTTAGGCTCCTCACAGTTGTTAGAAAAACCATGTTACAGTGGTCAAATATCGTTTACTTGGATTATAATATAAGTGAATGATGTGGGCTTTATAAGGGGAAAATCCCTCTGAGTGATAGGGACATGATACATGCGCTTTGAAAGATATTTTAGACATTGGATGAGTATCAATGAATCATGTACAAAACGATAGAAAAGTAGATGTTCATTTAACCTCCAATCATGTCGAACAACATTCGATAGATCATGCTCTTATGTTTAAGCTTACTGTGTTTTATGCTTGCTGTGGAAGTGCAACTTCTACATTATGCATTGGCTGGGCTTCTTTAAGCATTAGTTTTGATCATTTAAGAGGTTGCATGTCAATCCCTTTTGTGTATCTCATTCAGGATTTGTCCCTTCATGTCAATATAAAGACAGATAAAGGCATTCTAGCAGATTGGTGCTGATTGATGAATAACAAATGTGCTTTAGGATGTTACAAATCCAATGAATACATTGGCATGTGAAGGAAAAACAGTTAATCCATGAATTACATGGTGGTGATTTTGTAGTGGTTAAGATATTGGTGAACAAAGGTGTGCAAGGCAACATGATTGTTTATAAAATTTTTTAAATTAAGGATGAATATGTTGTAACCTAGATGACCTTTTCGTTAAGATACTGTATTTCTAAAATGCTCTAACAAAGAAGGTTCATGCAAGCAGGACGAGATAGCAACTTAAATTGTTGCAATGCATGTATGGTATAACAGAAAGGACTGTGTGAGGAAATAATGTATGGTAAAACAACAAGGACTAACTGTTCAGCTGCTCCATAAAGAGTTAATCGGCCTTCCTGAATCTTCTTCTATAGGGAAAATAGTTTATACCTTGATATGTCATGGTGGCTTCTTGCCTTCAGTATTTCATAGCCCTTTCAATTGCTTCTTCAGCTTTCTTCATTTTATGGTTGAGTAGATAATTAATGCATTTTATATGTTCTCGGCACTTTCAAAGGTCATAGTAAAACTATCTTCATAACACCGCTATTTGATTGCTAGGTGGTAAACTGATGGATTGGATTATGGTAGGTCCCAAATTCAGGATTGGATTATGGCTTTTATTTCGACAGTTATCATCACAATCATTTTGTTATTAGCATCTGAGTGTGTATCTTTCAGTGTCCAAAAAAGCGGAAAAATCGTCCGCATAGGCGGGCGATTATGCAGACTCAGTCCATTTCCTCTTGGAAATGGGCTGATTCACTCAATTATGCAGACAACCCCAAAATTGAGCGAATGATGACTATTCGCCCGCATGAAACAGTTATGCAGGCAACTTTAACTTCCAGGTTTAATGGGTTATGAGCCCAAAAGCTTAACCTGAACCCGTTTTAATCAACAAAACCCTACCCGTTTTTAAATTATATCCTAAATCATGATCCCCCCCTCTGTGTAAAAAGAAAAACCCTAAATCAACGTCTTCCGTCGCCTCGCCTTCTCCACCCGCAAGTTCTCCCCTTCACCATCTTCTCCGCTGAGCTTCAAACGCCCTCCAATCTATATTCCACACCTTCTGCCCTAAATCTCGCTGTCTCTTCTTGTTCTACTCTAGCTCTTCAAATCTTCCTCGCTCTCCAATGCCGTGGACTTGGTCAGTTCTTAAGTTCCCAGAGCTTCCATTGCCATTGAGGATTTCATCCTGACTTCTTGTTTTAGTTTTAATGTTTAATTTGTAACTTTTATCTGAGTAGCTAGTTAATTGTGATGTATGCATAGAAAATAGATTGAGCGTTTAAGTGCTTACTTAGTTATTGATTATTAAGTCACATGTTTATTGGCATTTTTCTTGGTATATGTTCTACCATTATGAATTATATGTTCTACTATTATGAATTATGTATGAAAAATAATAAATACATGTTAAAAAATTTAAAAACTCATAATTCCACGTAAACCGATTAATTGGCGCATAATCAGATTAATTGCTACTTGCTCTAGGACCGCACGCATAATAAAACCTTGTTTTTGAACATGGGTATCTTTTACTACTATTGTCATCATGTGCTATAACTTATGTTGCATATTTTACCTTTTATTAATTGCTAAACGAGTTCCTCTCTTGATGCATGTTCTTGTATTTTTCATGCAACTTCTACTAAATATATTTCAGAACCTTCTTCATTTACTTCAACCTCCATAACAACATATAACAACTCAATGGTATAATAATGATATCTCTTTGCGGGTAAATCACCATAGTGTACTTGGTGTGATGGGATTACATAAGTAATGCAGTCCTCATCTTCGTCCAATCCTCTGTTTAATCTTCTACCATATCTACATAATTGCCTTCAACGTATTACCAAAGTTGGTAATCTCATAATTTTTTTTTCATCTTTTACTGTAACGGTGCAGCATTGACTGATAATGGCAAATTTCTCCTGGCTGCTCGCAAATGCCGAAGAACTACTTGTACAGACTATCTTATCTCACTAAATGCAGATGACATGTCAAAGGGAAGTGGTACCTATATTGGAAAGTTAAGGTATACTTTTAATATGCTTTCATTGTGATTTGTCACAGCACACGGAAACTTTTTTTTGTCATGTGACGTGTATTAGGTTATGAGTGCATATTGTTGGAGAGGATTTACTAGATTTCTGAAAAGGGATTTACTAGATTTCTGAAAAGTAAGAATTATGAAGGTGAAATATACTGAAATCACATAAACATGTAAATCTTGAGATTTGTAGCAAAACCATGAGTTTCCTTCAAGTTTTGTGTTCTCTTCTAGCAGACAAAACATTTTTATTTGAGTTTCAAATTCTCGCACTCTGGTATCAATTGTTCAATCTCTGGAAAATATGAAAAACTACTAAGTGGATAACAATAAAAATTAACACATAAAGACTATACCTAGGTGTATGACTATACTTGTTTCAATGGGAGGTTTTAGGATTTATGAAATGCAGTTAATCTTGTTTACTTATTGAGAGCATGTTATATTCCTAGTATCTGCATTCCAGTAATCTAAGATTTGTTGCAAATACATGGAATGAAAGTTAATAGCACCCTTCTTATTTGTATGGTGAATGTGAATGTACCTGTTGGACATTTGAATATTTGTTAACAAGGAAATAACACGTATTCATAGGAAGACGTTCATTTACTTGATAAGCCTACCATATTTGTTGGACATTTTAATAGTTGTGACTTGTGATAAAAAAGACAGTTCAGACATTGATGGGAAGACATTTAATATTTTGATAAACCTTTGGTTTCTAAACTGTGGGGTAGGTAGCAAGTAAAAGCTTGTAAGTTTATAACACAAATTGCAGAAATCCCCTCTTTCAGTTTTTGTAGCAAAACCTTCAGCCTATTAGATTCTGTATATATTCTACCTTTAATTCACTTTTGGCCCTTTTGGGTAATTTGCAGAATTAACGTAAGTGTTATGGATTATCCATAAATCTAACTGACTGATCCTGTTTAATGGGTTATCTGCAAATCTAACTACAACATGGTAATTTGTGAAACCTAATAGAGAAAGGGTTTTACTGCTAAAACATTATGGTAACACGGCCTTTCTGCATTTATCGATCTATAAAATTTTCAGCTATCACGAAAAAGAGCTGTATATTACTAATTTTTTCGCCAGCTGGCCACGTAATCACTCTCCACAATATGTTATATATTTATAAGAACTGATTTCTTTGTGGAGAAAACGTCTCTGGAATTAACTTTGTGTGTTGCCTTAAGAAAAATCTTTTGATGATATTCTAACATGTTTTGATTGAACAGGTCAAACTTTTTAGGAACTAAGTTTACAGTCTATGATGCTCAGCCTCCTCACACTGGGGCAATGTTTACAAAAAGTCGCTCTACTCGTCTAGTGAGTTCCAAACAAGTCTCCCCGAGAGCTCCAGCTGGGAACTACCAAGTTGCCCACATTTCTTATGAGTTAAATGTCCTAGGTGCCAGGTGAGGAACATCAATCTTTGAGTATCTAGCAGATAAAGGTTCATCTCAATTTTAAAAAAATAAAAATAAAAATCTTGTGTCTGCTTAGGCTGATCTGCACATAAGCTTTAGCATAGCTACTTGACATCTGAAGTCATAACTCTTACTATTTTCATTTCTTTTCTTAGTAGTGTATTAGCACTCAGTTACATCTTTGTTGTGTGTTGATAAAAGCATGATGGTAAGCCTGAATACCAATAAAAAGTAATCTGTATAATTTTTCCTTTGGCTAGTTAGGTTATTTCCTGAACACTTTCCGTATGTGCTTTTGATACATTCTTGGGTTTGTGCATGTCCATGCATGCTAATGGGTATGTGTTTTAACACCTAATGGAATTTATGTGGCTTTCAAGTTAGATTGTTTCTCTTAACATCACTTAATTTTAATGGAGTACATACTGCACCAAATGTTGTTTTATTTGTTAGTGTTTGGCTCAGTCAGACAACTTTCCAGCTTATTGAGCCAAATTGCGAATCGTTTTTAAAGATCAAGCCAAATTATGTTATTTTAAAATTAAAAGATTTTCATCTAGGAAAGGACAGTGGTGATCCAGATCCTTGGGTAACTACATAGTCACATATGACATCACAACAGTACTTCGACAACTGAGAAAGATCTGGCGTGAATCTTATAGCAAAGATTAAATGGTTCCTGATAAACTTCTTTGTAAGCCCTAGCTAGTGACAGCTCCATATTAATTATTTTAGCTCACCTATATCATTATTCCAGATTGCATTATTATCAATTTTCCAATTATGGTTATCTTGGTGGTGTGGTTGTTGGAAGGGATCACTTATAGGCTATATCCTATATGTATACAGTTTAAACTACCTAACCTTCACACTAGCTGCCCTCTCCCTGTTTCCGCATTTGATACTCCCGCTGATACATGATTCAACCAGTGGGTTACAAGATTCAGGGGAGTTTTCATAAAGTGTGTCATCCCAGAAAGGCTATCTGTGAATTGAAAAGTCTCCACAAGCTTGGTTTCACAGGTTAAATACTTTTGTTGCTTAGTATGGTCTGATGAGAAGTGTTACTGATATTAAAGTCAATTTTCCCAGATACAGCAGTTCTTATGGATTGTGAGAATGGATACAGAACTGCACCGTACCACCATGTTAACCGAACATGTTGAAGCATGAAACTATGCACCAACTTGTATTATGTAGGTTATAAAATTGATTATTATGATTGATCTTGTTCTTAAACTATCATATGTGATTATCAGGGGTCCTAGGAGAATGCAGTGTGTTATGGACTCTATCCCGGCCTCCGCAATTGAACCTGGAGGGACAGCACCTACCCAAGCTGAGTTCCTTATCAACAGCCTTGATTCCTTTTCATCAATGCCGTTCTTCAGATCTAAGTCATCTCGCATGGAAAGCATGTCGGGTGCTCTCGCTGGGCACAAAGAAGAAAAATTAGTGTTGAAGAACAAGGCTCCAAGATGGCATGAGCAGCTACAGTGCTGGTGTTTGAATTTTAGGGGAAGAGTAACAGTTGCGTCAGTGAAGAATTTCCAGCTGGTGGCTTCAGAAGAAAATGGAACAACTGGGCAGGAGCATGATAAGGTTATTCTTCAGTTTGGAAAGGTTGGGAAGGACTTGTTTACAATGGACTTTTGCTATCCCATATCAGCTTTCCAGGCATTTGCAATCTGCCTCAGTTCTTTTGACACCAAAATTGCTTGTGAGTGAAGGCAAAGGTGTGTCTTATTTCTTCAGATTATGCTGTGATCTTTCATATAAGATAAAAGAGAACTTTATATTTCGCATGCAAAAACATCCCACATGTCAGAAATGATCAATTGAAGTAATAGTGATGATGGTAAAGCTGATATTTTGGCAAGAGTTTTCTTGATTCTGTCCTAAATAATGCTAGAATAATTTGAAAAAGAAGTATTTAGTGGAAATTATACTTAAATGTAGCATTTAATCATGCGTGTTTATAAAAAGTCCCCCCCATATCATATAAGGCAAGCTTGTTGAACTTGGCTCAAAATCATATAGGGCTAGTTCTTGTTCGACCCCTTTATGTTCTGCTAATTTTGAAGTTAGAACATTTGAGTTCATCTCATTAAACCTTGAAAAGTGTAAATGAGCCATAGCCTAGTTATTACTCGTTTTAGCTCAACATTTTGATAGATAAGATTTTAAGTAATTATTTTCACTTAATTATTACAGAAATTAGTCAATACAATTAGAAAACTGAAGAAAATATTATTCTTTGATAATAATGATTATTATTAAGAGACATTATTTTCAATTTCTCATATAAAAGAGCAACTTGATTGATGGCTAAACAAGCTAAAGATTTTAACACTAATAGTATGAGATAATTTTGCCATGTAGCTGAACAATCCATTCGTAATACCTATTATTAATAGGGAAATGCGAACTAAGTACGCATCTTTAGATTCAATCTAAGGATGCACATTATATGCAATCAATTTACTTGATCCAATCCATTCATTTCGATCTATATGTTTTGGATTGTATATAAACAAAAAAATTAGGCATGTTGGGTTATAGTTACTCAGGCATCAAGTGATTGTAAAATTAATAGTTATACGATATAATACAACTAAAGAGAATGAAAAATATGTTAGGAGTATAAAAAAAAATCTTGAATTTTTGCTTTATAGATGTTTTGAGAGATTTAAATCATGATAAATGGAGTAGATCATCCATTGGAATAAATTCAATCCATTCATCAAGAGGAGCATACTTAGATTGAACCTAAGGTGCCTCCTTAGTAACTTATGATTTTGTTTTGCTTATCTTCAGAAATCACTACTTCATTCTTGTGTAACTTTTGCCTGACGTTTTAATTTTCTTTTTAAAGCAGCCAAACGTCAAGGAAATTTAAGATGCCAAGCCATCTGAATAAAGATTAGGGAGAATGGGTATCACAATCACGGATTGGCACGCTGGCAGTAGCTGCTTGCATTGGTTGCTTGTTGCTTTTGTATACTATTTTCTTCATTGATGTACATAACTTTTCTGAGTTTGTTCAGCCTATGGCTTTGGCATCTGTTAAGAAAGCTGAGTACAATTTAATTTATAACACTGTTTTTTTCAATCTGGCTTGAAAGAGGAAGGGAAAGGTTCCATGTACACTGTTTTGCTGAATGTAACATGTTATAATTCTTAGTTGTTTTATGCGGTAGATGATGTGGTAGGGTGCTTCTGCATCTTTGTTATTTTATAGCTTCAATATATTATCACGGAAGTACTATATATGCCTTAAAAGATTTCCGCGTGAGTTTACGTTTTTGGTTTTTGGTTTCATCCATTTTGTGATGTACCGTCGGACATGCGATTTCCTTTTGTACTTTGTTTCGGCGATTTCACCTGTTGCGTTTCGAACTTCTTTAGCTACTATGTAGCATGTGTTGTGCGCGGCGGAAGTTAAAACCAAACCAATGTGTTTCGAGAGACCAAATCAAACAAACGTCGAGAGAAAGCCAAACATAATCAAAATAACGGCACGAACATAAACAACCAATTTTAACGTGCTTCGGCAAGTTGTTTATGCCCACGGGACAAGAAGGTGATGGGGTTTTCACTAATAGAGAAGAAGAGTACAAACTGAGATTACAAATCACTCGAACTCACTAATTAATCTCACCAACAAATCTCTAATTCTCTCCAAATAAAACTCTAACCAATAGCTCAGAAAATACATCTTTTCTGTGCTGTAAATATCCCCAATTCGCTGCTCAATTCTCTCTTCCAATCGTTTCATATATATAAAAATCCTAAAACCAAAAACATACTAGGAATTCTAAAACAAAAAACAAAACAAATTAGAAATCCTAATAACCTGTTACCAAAACAGATTTGGAATACTGTTACCAAACCAGATTAGAAATCCCAATAACCTGTTACCAAAACAAATTAGAAAACATATTAGGAACCTGCTATCCAACAATTCTCCATCTCGGCGAAGTTTTCCCAAAACCGAGCCGACACCAATACCAACAAAACGTTTCACTTGTTGCGTCTAGTACGAAGTGGAACAAATCCACGACAACGGACTCAATCCACAACAAGTCGAAAATCCAAATGAGAATGCGAACAAACTACAAATGTCGGTATCAACTCACCAAACCGGCTACATTATAAATGACTGCCTACGTATCCTCTTGCCCAAGAAATCAAGTCTTCACGTAGTTCACCAAATGACCTCCAAAGTCCCTCAATCCAATAGAAGAGTTTTCAACTCTTCACCAACAAATCTGCGACTGGTAGCTCTCCCATTGGTCCCAAAGTGAAACAAACCAAACACCTCTGTAGGCGTTGAAAATTGCCTATAGGTCTCCACGAGCAGCTCAAAACTAAGAGAAGATGATGAACGTCACTATCTAAGTTACAGAAGCTTGATTGACGTTGAGGAACGCTTGAAGTGAATCGACGAATTACGTGAAGTAACGGAATTTCAGAATAACGAAGACACGAACTGATCGGGAGTCCCGCGTCGCTTACAAAAGACGAAACGACGCTCCTGTCCCAGCTTAATCCACAATGATCTAATCATCAGAGCTTATAGAACTCCTCGTCGGCTTTCCAACGCACTTTGAATCACTCAAATCCGAGTTCGGACGAAGAAATTACGACGGAAACGGACAAGTGCACGGAAAAGAACGTCTCAGCCTGAGTTGAGACACCCCGAGGTGTCTCGGCACAAGCGAGACACCCAAGGGTGTCTCGGCCTCGCTGAGACACCCAGGTGTGTCTCCAGGCCTAAAATTGGGCCGTTATGCTGTTTCAACCACCCGAACTCCCCCGAGCCTATAAATACAAGCCTCAGGCCTTCATTTTTCTGGATCTGGAATTCTCGAGCGTTGGCGAAGCCCTGCCGGATTGAAGATCAAAAGTGCACAAATTTCAGAGAGGAGGAGGAGAGATCGGATCGAGTTCATCTCAACCACCCGAACTCCCCCGAGCCTATAAATACAAGCCTCAGGCCTTCATTTTTCTGGATCTGGAATTCTCGAGCGTTGGCGAAGCCCTGCCGGATTGAAGATCAAAAGTGCACAAATTTCAGAGAGGAGGAGGAGAGATCGGATCGAGTTCATCGGCATAAAGAAGAGGAGCTCTTCAGATCTGTAGTTCCCCGGATCCGTTCCTTAAGATTATCCCGTTGTGATAATCTTAAGAAGAGCAATTATCTCGCCGTTGCCGAGATAAGTGCTACGGTTTCTTGATTTCTTCGCGAATCAACGAAGCTCTGCTCGATTTTTCAGCAATCAGATCTGATCGACAGTGGTCCACGGATATCGACATCCCCGTCACAGGTCAAGATCTCACGCAAGCAGCGGGCGATAAACACCCGTTGTGTTTGTTTGATAAAGTTGTAAACTTTTTTTATTATTTTTATTGTGTAAGGAGATCTTATAAAAAGATCAACATTTTATTTTATTCGAGTTTATTGTAACGACTAAAGTTGTAATAGATTCGATAGCAATGAAAACAGCAACTTTCGACGCAAACAACCTCCACCTGAGGTGAATCAATGATCATATCCAAATCCAAACTATGTCCACCAGCTGTACTCGAATCAACCAACTCATCATCCGCATCCAAATCCAAATAATCCCCAAACTGTGTCACCTCAGTTGGAATCTCAAACAATGCAGTATGATCTGGAGTATGTGGAGTAATCTCCACCCAACGTGGAGTAGCATCATTCTCCATCCGCTGTGATATCCCAATGATCTAATCAACACTCTCCACCTGCCGAGAGTCAAATGTGACATACATGCTCAGAACAAAATTAGAGTCTTCCAACTGATAACCAAACGAGCCTCTGAATCCCAAATATGCTATCAGATCAAATCTCACCCCCTCGATGTGACCAAATGCTGGGCAACCAAACATCCGACGCAACCTAAAATCTAAAGCAGCTCCACCAGATCCAAAATCTCCAAACACAACAGTCAGCAACCTATGACTAAGATGAGTCAAACATGTCGAAGCCCGAACACCAAAACCAATGCTCGACATCAAACGCCGATCCTCCTCCAGTAAGGAACGACCCATCAAAATTGTCATCTCATCTCGTCGCCCCAATGTTTCCTCTCCAATGAAGTGTCTCAAACTGTCATGAGCTCGGGACAAACGCAAGAAAGAATCCCTACCAAAAATAAAACGACGGGTTACTTTTCTGCCAACACACTTCCTCCATCTGTTATTGACTTCTATGACTTCAAACCAACGGGACTTGGTTGCAACCCACCAATGCCTAGAATAGTCCCCAACTACGAAAACCAAATATCTATTACCTCCCAATGATGCATTCTTAGAAGGTTCCAAATACCTGAATGAACACCACCTAAAAGATCCCTCGATCGATGGATAGAAGTGTCAAACTCTACCTCAATCTTCTTGCTCATACCAATGTGATCAAAGGACTTCAATCTGCAGGTTAAAACACTTCTCAACAATCCATACGTGGCATAACCTATCAAATATCTCAGGCTCAATAAATACCACAGTCTAGCCAAATCCAAAGAAGTCGTCAGTTCTCTACCAATCACCGTGCTCCTAATAAAATAGTACAAATTCTTCCTCCTAACGCCCTTCATCACAATCATGGACCCAAATGCGACCTTCAAACATGCATCCTCTAAGGTCGCCCTATAGCCTGTTACCTTCAAAACTCCAAGTGAAATGATGTTCTTCTTCAGCTGAGGAACGAACCTTACTTCATCCAACTCCCGAATCATTTCATCATACATCCTAATACGAATGGTACTGATATCACTAATAGGATATTCATGATTATTACCCATGAGCACGACATCCATTCTTTCTAACTCCTAAAAGTTAGAGAACCAATCCCTCCTAGAGCAAATGTGGTAAGAAGCACCCGAATCTAACATCCACTCTGTAGAGTCGGCAACACAAACTGACCGTAGTGCTAATGAATAGCCCAAAGAATCTGAATCTGAATTGTCACCACTAGTCTTGACAACATTCACCTCCGAAGCTTGAATAACTTTTCCCTTATTCTTCCCGGCTCAATCTTTCAACTTTGAGCATTCAGACTTCTAATATTCATCTTCTTTGCAAAATGCACACTGATTCCTACGAACTCCAGGGTGTGCCCCTCTAGACTGTGACCTCCTATTTCGGTTTTGACTCTTTGTTCTTGCGACCAATGCCCCCGCTACCGACTCAACTGAAATCTCTTTATCCTTCTTTCGAAACTGATAATTCACAAGTGTAGCGGTGACCTTACTATACGAAAGAGATGTCTTCTCATTAATAAGAGTAAGAACGAAGGTCTCATATCAAGTATAGCGGTGACCTCACTATACGAAAGAGATGTCTTCCCATTAATAAGAGTAAGAACGAATGTATCATATTTCTCGTCGGGCAAGGAACTCAACAATAACAACGTATTGTCCTCATCTTCAATCATCATATCTACATTCGTCAAATCTGCAAGAAGCTTTGTGTAGTGGTTCATGTGATCACCAATGGAGATTCTTTTCTTCAATTGGAAGCGATAAAGCCTCCTCTTCAAATACAAGTGGTTTTCTACACTCTTTGTTAAATACTTGTCCTCTAGGATTTCCCAAATCTTCTTAGCCGAAGTCTCATTGATCACATTATATTTCAAATCTTGAGTTAAAAAAATCTAATCACACCACACGCCGTTCTATTCATCTTCTTCCAAACCTTCTCCTCAATGTCATCTGGTTTCCCATCCAACTCCAATGTATCTTCCAAATTTTACGCGTTGAGCACATCCAAGACTTCACATCTCTAAAGACCAAAATTGTTTGTGCCATTAAACTTCTCCACATCTATCTTCATCATCCAAGACTTCACATCTCTAAAGACCAAAATTGTTTGTGCCATTAAACTTCTCCACATCTATCTTCATAGAGTGGATATTCAAACTTTGTTAAACTTCTCCACATCTATCTTCATAGAGTGGATATTCAAACTTTGGACGGTCTTCACGCCGGAAGTATTCTCCACAACTCCTTCTTTATCGACCATCTTTCTCAAACCACCAACAAAACAATACGGAACAAACGAAGAATAGATTCAAACTGAAAAGAGAGATTTTTACCTCCAACTGAAACCCTAATAAGAGCCTCTAAAAGACCTCACCCACACACGACGATAGAAGAGATCACCAATAGTAAAAATCCCATCTTTATCATCAAATAAAGCCCTAGACGAACTTCCAAAGCGATCTACTCCTCCAATTAGCCCAAGCGTAGCCCAAGTTCTGATACCATTTGTTGTGCGCGACGAAAGCCAAAACCAAACCGATGTGCTTCGAGAGACCAAATCAAACAAACGCCGATAGAAGGCCAAACACAATCAAAATAACGGCACGAACACAAACAACCAATTTTAACGTGGTTCGGCAAGTTGCCTATGTCTACGGGGCAATAAGAAGATGATGTTTTCACTAATAGAGAAGAAGAGTACAAACTGAGATTACAAATCACTCGAACTCACTAATTAATCTCACCAACAAATCTCTAATTCTCTCCAAATAAAATCCTAACAAATAGCTCAGAAAATACCTCTTTTCTGTGATGCAAATATCCCTAATTCGCTGCTCAATTCTCTCTTCTAATCGTTCTATGTATATATAAATCCTAAAACCAAAAACATACTAGGAATTCTAAAACAAAAAACAAAACAGATTAGGAATCCTAATAACCTGTTACTAAAACAGATTTAGAATTATGTTACCAAAACAGATTAAGAATCCTAATAACCTGTTACCAAAATAAATTAGGAAACATATTAGGAACCTGCTATCTAACATCATGTACTTCTTTTTTATGTTTTTAATTTATGACGACCCAAAAGACAGGAGGAGTCATATGTAGCTTGTAGACGTGGGCAGTTTTATGGGAGGTCATATTGTGTCTTTTGCTGGCATGTTTTGTGACGATATTTTTATCATGAATGCTTTCTTCACTTAAATTTGTTCGTTTTGTTGCTTATATTGTGTTGCATGTATTCATTATATTGTGTTTCTTCTTGTATATGTACACGTGAATGTATTGCTCCATATTAATACCTAAGGAGCTCATCGGTCAATTGAAACAAGCAGCACAGAGAGGGACCCATAAACGGGATATACATAGGTTGACGGATGCGAATAGATTCTTAAACCGGAAACCCAAATGCTGAAAACGCAGGTGATGCATGCTAAGCTGCATATGTGTCCCCCAGGAAGAGGATTGACTAGCTCATTTCCCCGGCAAGGCTGGAACTGCATTTAAAAGCACAAATTTCTCTTCAATCTAGCGTATAGCAAATACACTAAAGCTGATTTCGTAATGACATTCTGTTCCAGGTCATAATCCATATAGGATTCAAAAAGTTGTTAATAAAGAGTAGACCACGAGGGGGTTTACGCGCTCGACCGTAAGGGAGAGGGGAAAGGAGGGAGGCAGATCAATATGTACAAAAAGAATTTCATTATCCCACTCCTAGATCTCATAATGTTAGATATTCTAATCTCACAACTGCTCATATTCTATTCTTGCTCGAAGTCAAGGAAACGCGGTTAGCCAAGCCTCGTAGGCGCTTTTGGGCGCAGGTTCCTCAATCGCTGTTCTTCCACGCAAGTAGAAGCAAATAACAAAAAGCATCGAGTCAAATCCGTCCACGGAAATAGCAGTTGTCAAATGCGGAAGATGGAGCTAAGTTTGGTTTCCAATGTGACCGATACAACTTGACGGAGCCAGGAAAGAGGGGAGAAGCTCAAACGCCGGGAAGATGCCGAGCACTGACGAGGAAAGGAGAGAGGGCTAAGTGCCATATACGCAATTTGTTGCACCTTGATGCTTGATGATTGTTTTTCCCTTCTCCCTTTGATGTTTGTCTTGATTCAAACACACGATTCTCTAAAACATGATTCTCTTGTGACAATCTAGCACTCAATCTAATGCTTCTTCAAGTTTCTAGTACCGTAAATACCATTTTTCGCATATTTTTGGTGAAAATAATGGAGATTTTCCATTTCTTCCTCAATTCGTCAAGTCTCTACTGGGTGCCTCAGTACTTACCCAGGAAGTGGCGCCTTCTAATAAAGACGAATAGAGGAGAAAGTCCATGCAGCTGGCTCCGAAATTTTGCTGTTTTTTTTTGTGACCTTAATTTAATACAAAGATTCCTTTAGCTGCCCATGAAATATGTAATCATGTGACAAAAACTGTATTATTTGAGGCGTTCACGGTCCAAACTTATTTGCAAGCAAAAGAATGCTCTCTCGACTCACTGCAAAGTGGAGCTTTTCCATGAATCAACGTCATATCACATTACATGTTTTATGGTTTAACCTTCTTCAGCTCTCATCTTACATTGAGGACAAGGTTGTACATTAGACTTTGTGAAATAACAATCTTACAAGATTACAGCATTCAATTTCACTTTGTTTCCAGTATAAAGTCGCCTCAACTGAACTGAGTATATTATATACACACGCGCCTCTGCACATAAAAATATCATAGTTCTTACGCTGCTTGCATCTCTCTATCTCCACTCGACGCACCCTCCATTCCCATCGACAATGTCTCTTCCTCGCTCGCCAAATCATCCACCCCTAACTCTATCTCCTTCATACTCCTCACAAACTCTGCAAACTTAAAGAAATGCTGTGGCGAGAAGAAATCCGCCCCCATTCTCTGATAAGTAAACGAACCAACCACCGATAACTTCTCCTTAATTCTACCAAAATCCCAGCCAACCAATCGAGAATTCTCCCCAGAAATCCTCACTCCGTTTCTTTTACATGCTCCAATAATTTCATCGAGCAACAACTCTGGGCTTGATTGTAATCCTTCTGGTTGATCTTTATCGACCAAATCCATGCCCGATACAACCATTTGACAAGAATGCCTCCCAAAAGTCTCTGCAACTGAGACATAACCGTTAAAGTATCCAGCAGTGAGTTCAGCTGGACGAGACCGAGTCTTATGCCAATTATGCAGAAGCGGGATTTTTGCAGAGAGGGTTATTGGTAAGTTTGCAAAACTTTTTGATGCAATCGAGAGGAGGCGGTCACCATGAGAGAGGAGTTGGTTGGAATACCAAGAGAGGAAGAATTTTCCATAGGGTGAGTCCCATGAGCCATTTTGGTCATTGAAGAAGTTGGTTGAGTTTGGCGATTCGTTGTAGCTTGGGGCATCGTGAGGGCCTGAGAGACCCCAACAAGGGTTGCCGGAGTTCTCGGCATGGGATTTGAGATTGGCGAGCAAGAATTTGTCGTAGCATTGGAATTCTCCGACTCCGGTGAAGGGATGGGTAGTGGTGGTGGTCGGTGGATAGGATGGGTATCGGAGCTCTCCGTCTGGTCCAAGGCCTACTAGAATGCCCTGAAAATGAGAGTAAGGGGGAAAAGTTACTAACGGATTCTTTTAGAAAAAGTTGTAACAATTGAGCGGGTTAATTAGTCCCTTTTATTTATTTATTTTTTCCTTGGCAAAATCAGTAAGAGAATATATTTCTTTTTCTCTATTCTCTTTGCGGTTAGACCCCCTATAGTATCTGACTTTTGAACATATTACCCTCTACTTTTATTTTTGCAGATAGACTCCCTGAGTGATTTTTTTTTTACTCTGAGGGTGAAGGAGTAAAAATAAATTAAAATAACTTTTCTTTTCTTTTTTTTAGGTGGGGGTGGGAGGGATAGTAAGTTCGAAAACGGGTTATTCATTTACATTTCATTTTATTTGGAGTGGATAAATGGTGGTTGCTAAGTCCCATTCTTTCATCAAAGATAGCAATGAAGCGCAAAAGAAAGAGAGCAAATCAAATACAACAATTCAATCAAGAAATTGTGATAGTTAAGTAGCTGGAATCAGTCAATCTAGTCCTAGCTCTCAAAATAGTAACACGCCAGCTTTAGAGGCGAAGAGAGTTGAATAAGATCTTCCTACTTAAGTTGTGATCTGGCAATCTTATCCACCTAGAGACAGAGAGTACTAAAACCTACTCAAGCATGAGTTGGCACCAGTCATATGCAATGCAAGGACGAAACAATTCCAATTCCTCAAAATTGTCCTTTTTGCCAATATATAATTTTTATACTCTTTATGACAAAAATGGGTCCTCAAGTCTTGAATTCACAGAGGGTATTGGATATCACAAAGTTGCATTACCAAAGAACTGGCTTTGGCGTTACTAAAGAACTAGCTATGATTAAGCATATTGATAGTTTATTAGGTTCTACAATATTTATTAGGGTTAATTGCGGATAGATCCCCCAAACTATCACTGAAAACTGACTACCCCTATAGTTCTATTGTTGCAGATAGACTCCACGAAAGAGCTCTATTGTTGCAGATAGACCCCCTGAGAGAAAATATATTGTTGCAGATAGACCCCTGAAAAGGGTCAACAAAATTTCACTCAGGGGATCTATCTGCAACAATATAACTGCGGGGGTAGGAAGTTCAATTAGCAATACTAGATGGGGTCTATCTGCAATTAACCCTACTCATTATCCAATAAAGGGTTAATAGTTATGGTGGTAAGAGTCAGCTCTGTAAGTTTCTGTCTGCATATTGGCATTAGTGTGTCAATATTTCAAAGTGCAAGTATGTACAGACACTAAATGGAGTAAATATGAAAACAAGTAGCATTTTCTTACCGTAATGGTTGAACCGATGAGACCGGAGAATTCACCCTGAAAACTCAAGAAAAACTCCTCAAACACCTGCATCGGCGTCTTCCCATCAAGAACTGGTAACTCATCAACAGCGAACGAAAGGCACCCCGCATGTCGCTGACCAGCTCTATCAGTGAATAGTATATCGGGTTTCTCCATAGCAATCCTTTTCACCCATTTAGGCAGACAAACCTCCTGCCTGCTCTTCTTGGAGCCATACAAGTGAAGTCCAACGCGAAGCTCAAGGCCAGCATCCTGAACCACGCGAGCGAGGGCGAGATAAGAAGACCAGCAGTACTCGGAAGTGGACTCTGGTTGGGCGATGGACCACTGTATCGGAAGTTCTACTCCTTGGACGCCCAAGAGCTTGAGGGCTCTTAGACCGGCAGAGATTGCTTTGGTGTGGTTTATAGTGTTGCAATCGGAGACTGAGTCTAGGGGTAGACCTACAAAGAGTCGGTTTGGAGATGCCTGAAACAAAGGAAAACAAGAGTAGATGTCACGTTAGGGAACACTAAGTAACAAGAAAACCGGAAATTTTCACTCGAAAAAGCGTAACATTAGGGGAGTTCATTGCTTGTTATAACTTCCCAAAATCTCAATTGTTCATTTATATTAAAATTGTTAAGAAGCAATCCAATTATGAGTAGTATATCTGTTTACCCTGTCCCTTCCTGCACTAAGTTGGCATGATACACATCCAAATTATCAACAATAATTTGGATACCATGATGGCGAGGATTGTGAGGGTCTAAATATGTGTCATATTAGTAACACACCAGTTTAGCATGCAGAGAAGATGACCAAAACTCATCCCCTCATAAATTAAGTAATGTTATAATTTATGTGAATTTCATCCATTTCCACTTCTTAATCAAGACAAACCCTAAGCACCCACTAATAGATCCGTTGTCATTATGGAAGAGGAGAACTCTTCACCGTCCGTTTTCAGCAAAAAGGACCTAAAACCTTCTAACACCACCACAAAAACAATATATATTTTTTTGTCAGCATTATCAAACCTATGAAGTTTTGAATGGATGATGTTAATTAACCAAATTGATACATTTATTGCTTATCGCTATGTATAATTCCATGTCAATTGATCATGGAAACCCAATTCATGCTATTCAAACAAATATTATTTGATTTGTCAAAATCATTGCCATTCAAATCTCTCTTATTTTGGTTGTAAACAGCAACCAAGTTGCTTGCTTTTACTCTTCTCTGCAACTACTTTTACGAACATTTCCCAAAAAAAAAGAGTGCAAAAAGAAACATAATTTACCGAATTTTTCGACGCCGCCGACTTTTTCCCCACTACAGAAATCTCCGACCGGACGGCCTTGAGACCGACTGAAACCGGCCACGAATTATTATTTGTCAGCTGTGAGTGTTCGAGTCGTCAGTTGCCAAAATTATTGTTTTCAGAGATTATGACCATATGCAGCAGGGGTTTTTTTTTTTGGGATATTTGAAGGCAGCTGGGGTTTTTTAAGGGGGTGAAATAAATAAGATTGGCCAAAGGGTGAAATTTTCACCCCGATGATGTCAGCGGACACGTGACGAATTTTGATTGGGCGAGCTTTTTTTTTCCTCCTTATTTTTATTTGATATTTTTTGAGATAAATACAATGAATTAATTTATAATTTTTATACCATTAATTTTCATTTTTCAAACTCTATAAATAGAGACTAACACTTTCCTAACCAACCTCAAAATACCCTCCCTCAACCACAACATCCAAATATACAACGCCCCGAAAATAGTAATGTTGAAGTGATGTGGTTTATGGTGGGTCCCAAATAAAGTAAAAAACTTTCTGAAAAATCTCCGCTGTAGAGTTGATAGGGAAATGAAGATTATTGAATTAAATAAAGTGATGTGGTAGGAGAGAAGGATGTGAAATTTCACCTCCTGCTGGAGATGGTCTAAGGTGTGGAACTCACCACTCTATATCTCTTAATAGCTCAATTAGCAAAATGAGACACCACCCCATGCTCGTCATTCTCTTTTTAAATCTTTTCCTGGAAACTTCATTACTTGAAATTGTAAATATTTGTTTAATTAATTGTTGTTATACGTGCGGACTTAATGCTACAAAATTGTTATACATACATCTTGATATTGTTATGGTGATTTGACAAATATCTGTTCAACGCGAACTACTATCATGATCATAGTGGAAACCCTATTAAAAGAGACTATTTCTATTCAAATGTGAGTTTCGGAGTATTTCTATCCAAATGTGATAATTTGAATGAGTAATATCTATAAAAAAAATTAAAAGATTAATTATTAAGTTAAGTGTCAATTTGGATAGTAAAAGACATGGGATGAGATTCTGTCTCATGTGGGGGAAAAAGCATTGTTGTACTTGGAATCCACTCATTAATGACAATCTCTCTATTACTATTTACTAAAATAGTTTTTAGTACATAAATTGACGTCTTTAAAATTTAATGCATTAGGTCATATCAATGTAAAATATCAATCGGGAATGATTCATGACATTTAATGTGGCATTAAACATATGTCAATTATTGGCTTGAATACTAACGTCCAATGATTTAATAGTTAACCTCTATTTGATGCTCATTTAATGTTATGCATACCAAACTAGTTGATACTTTCTCGCCTTTAAAGAGCTGTTTGGATGGCTGAAAACTCCCGTTTTGACCTCGGGAAGGAGCCAGAAAGCTGCCTAAATGGCAGCTTTCTGGCCAAAACAGCTCTAAAAGAGCTGTTTTCATTTTGGCAGCTTTCTGGCCGCTTCCCAAGGCCAAAACGGCCAAACAAACAGCCCCTAAACCAGTTGAAAACTATGCAAAATTTAATTCAGTTTTACGTGGGTTTGCCGAAAGGTAGTTCAATTCAATCTCATGTTTGCCGACAGACTTCAACTCCGGTTCGAATTTGCGTGTGATGTTGATCCATGACTAGCGAAGCAATATGAGGGTATGAGCTGGCAACAGCGACGCACCGCGTAGGATGAATGCGGTTGGTGTACATGATTTTGAGCAATCATTATTTGATCCGTAACAAATGTGAGTAGGGATTTTGGATTAAAAAAAATTTCATAGTTAGAAAGAAAATGGCAAGTATCTATTTATCTAAAATATATATAATATTATAAATTTATAGTACCTAACGGGAAAATGCACGTTTTGAATTTTAATTGATAATGAGCTAAATTCAAATGGGTCAATCCATTTGGATTGGTTGTTTAAATATTCAAATGGACTAATAAATGCTATTATACTTGTTGCAAATTGGCTGCTAATTTGCTTAGTGCTCACATAAATAAGAATCTGGGTGCAATTTTTTTAAAACTATTTGGGGGGGGGGGGGGGGGG